TGCTGGTGAAACCCAAAGAAACAGCTGACCTGAACGTCAGGGAGCTCTTGTTCCCCAGACTGATAGCTGGGATACCAGCAGACCCCAGGAACATGGGTTGCAGTGAGGAAACCTGGGAAATCTACAGGGCCTCCTGTAGTAGATCAGTACTTATCCCTAGCATAGATGTGAACTTTGGGAGCCCATTCCACATAGAGGGATACTCCCTGAGCCAAGACACACAGGGGTGGGCCTAGGCCCTATCCCAAAGGATATGGTAGACTCTGATGACCCCCTATGGAATACCTCACCCTCCCTGGGGAGCAGAAAGGGTATGTGATAGGTAGGGCTTTAGTTGGGGGGAGGGAGGCGTTGGGAGGGAGAGGGAACTGGGATTGCCATGTAAAACAATCTTCTTTCTAATTCAAATAAAGAAATCTGAAAAAAAAAATCTCTAGGCCCACCTAGGTTCTAGATAGGAGTGGAATGAACCTACAAGAGTCCAGGAGAAAGTTGAGAGTGGGGCCTTTTGCTAGCAAGTATCCTGGCCACGGGTTTGACCCTGCCTTTCTATTTTAATTCTAGTGGTTTAGCCTTGTGATCAGAGTTTCCTGGTCATCTCCAGCTGCCACTTGTGTCTCCCCAAAGACCAGCTGGAGTATAGTACCATTTCCTGGATCACCTTCCCCTGTTGCCTGAGATTAGTGTGTGTATTGCTTTCATCCTTTCATACTAGTTATCCATAGACCTGCCTGGTGCTGACACACCCCTACCTACCTTATTTTTGAGATAGGGTCTTTCACTGAACCAGAGCTTGCCAGGGAGGCTAGCCTAGCTTCCAGATAAGCCCAAGGGATCTGCTTATTTCCACATCCCTAGCACTAGGATTTCAAGTGTGTGTCACTGTAGCTGGCTTTTCTTTCCTTTTTATTGTACACTTGGGAATGAACTCAGATCTTCATGCTTGCTGATAAGCACATTACCAACTGAGCTATCATCCCAGCCCAGGAAGCCCAACACTCATTCCCCCTCTAAAGGGTGAGGCTTTTAATGTATGAGGATGGACCAGGGAGGAAATAGAAGACAAAAAGGTCTATTCTATCCTCACCGCTCTGTCTTACCAGGTCCTCTCTGTTTGATACAAGATCCATGCCACTGCCACCACCTCCTCCCCCCACCAAAAAAAATTTTTTTTCAGGTAAACTCAGGCCAGTGAGAGGGCTCAGCAGGTAAGAGCACTCGCTGACAAAGGTCATGACTCCTGAGTTCAGACTTCAGAGCCCACACTTTAGAAAGAGAACCAGTTCCCAAAAAAGTTATCCTGTGACCTCTTCACATTCCTAGTGACACCCACACATATACAAATAATCTTCTGAAAAATTTAAAGGCAGAGAAATTCTAAATTAATCAGGTAAGTAGACAGCTCTCTAGCCCTCTTTAGGATGCTGGTAAGAACCTGCAGTGTGTGTGTGTGTCTTCCCAATAACACATCCAATAGCATCCTGCTGATAGCCTGAAGTTGACCACGGCAAGGGAATCAGCAAAAGATGGTAGCAGTTCCACTGGGTGGGCAACTTTTCCTTAGTTAGATTCTTGAGTCTACCAGTGGAATTTGGTCAGTGAACACTAAGCTAATTCAGAAGGTCAAATCCTACTCTCCATAGTTGGCTGGGGTTTTTGTTTTGTTTTGTTTTGTTTTGTTTTCTCTTTTGGAGTTGGGGGGGTAGTGATGATGCAAAATCAGCAGAGGAGTTGCTCCAATGAGTTCTGACAGCCAGAAACAGTGTCCAGCGGTAGAGATGTTGCACGTGATTTCCTTTTCCCTTAAAAGAAGGACTGTAGTGATTCACAGGCAGTTTCATCTATGTGGTGGCTGTTGCTGAGGTCTCAGAGCATTGTGACACTGAAAGCTGCTATTCCAAGTGCTGGGCCATGGTCATAATTGACATTTCTCCCCCTAGAGCAAGGTTTGCTTGCCTGTGGGGAATTAATACAAAGCTCTCTCTGCTCACCATCGTTTTTATGCCCATGTAGGACTGCACATGCCAGAGCGAAAGCTGACGCTGCTGACCAGGCTGCACTGGCTGCCCGCCAGGAGTGCGACATCGCAAGAGCTGTGGCCCGAGAACTGTCACCTGATTTCTACCAACCAGGTAAATCATGTTTCCTTCCTTTTCTGGGAAAAATTGGAACATAAGCTTTCCATTTTCTTTGCTTTATTTGTTTGTTTCTTTTTGAGAACTTCATTCATGAGCAGGACATCTACTTCACTTCTGCCCCCAAAATTCATAACCTCAATTATTATTATTGTATGTGTATAAATGTGTGCTACCCAGATGCACATGTATGTATATATAACCTACTGGGTCTGTTTGGCTTTGCTTGCTTGTCCAGGGTTTAGCACCTGGAATTGAACAACCTATATGGGAGCTCATCCATGGAGGAAACTGGTTCTCCCCACTCTCCAAAGTCATTGGCCTCCTGTAGCTCTTCATCTAGGTGTGGGACCATGTGGAATTTCTGCTCTCTGTTATTGCATGTCAACTTGTGTCATCATCATGATGATCTTGTTCAGAAAACCATGTTGAGAGTTCATGGGTGCATTCTTCTTGCTGTGTATACAGGATCCACTATGTCACAGCAGACATCCTGGGTTCTTACAGCCTTTCTACACTCTCTTTTGTGATTTTTTTTTTCTTTTGCATCAGTTGTGTTGAACCTCCCTGGTCACTTACCTACACTTTGACCAGTTGTAGATCTCTGTAATGGTCTCTACCTGTTACAAAAAGAAGCTGCTTTGATGAGGAGTGAAAGCTAAGTTTACCTTTTGATATACTGATAAATATTCAGAATTCAGCTAGAAACTATACTGGTTTAGTGAAATACTAGCCATGCATTTTCTTACAGGGTTCATGGCCTCACCACCTACAGACCCAGTTTTACAGTATCAGATATTAATTCTTTCCCATGGAATGAATGGACTTGAAGTACACTTAGATAGCTTTTGGTTGCCCACCCCCCCCCCAGATGAAAATGCCACTGTTGCACCTTTGTGGATTTCTTCCCAGTTCAATCATTGTTCTGATTTATAAGCTTTACAGCTAGGTCAGAATTCTCCACACTGACTTACAGATTGACTACACCAGTTTACATTCCCATCAACAGTGAATGAGGGGTCCCTTTCGCCATATCCCCTCCAGTATCTGTTGTCAGTTGTTGCTCTTTCCTTTTTAAAAAGATTTTGTTGTTGTTATTCTAAATTATGTGTATGTGGAGGTGGGGCATGGTATGTGCATGTGACTGCAGGTTGTTTCCTCTGCTGTACAAAAGCTTTGCAGTTTCATTCGGGCCCATTTATCAGTTGTTAGCCTTAATGCCTGAGCAAACGAATGCCTGTTCACCTGTATCTTGTGGGCTCTGCCTGTGTTGTCTTCTCGCAGTTTTGATGTTTCAGGTTTCACATTGAGGCTTTGATCTATTTGGAGTTGACTTTTCTGCTAGTTAATAATAGATGGGCCTGAACGAGTTCTTCTACATGTGGACACCCAGTTTCCCCAGCAACGTTTTTTGTTTGGGGGTTTTTGGTGGTGTTTTGTTTTTTTGTTTGTTTGTTTGTTTTGTTTTTCCTTTTTTTGCCATTGTTAAATATCAGATGACTGTTGCTATGTACTCATTTGGGTCTTCTATTTTGTTCCATTGGCCTATATGTCTGTTTTTGTGGCATTGCCATGCTGCTTTTATTGCCATCGTTCTGTGAAATACCTTGAAATGTGGAACTATAATCCTAGCATTGTCCTTTTTTTCTGGATTGCTTTGGCTATCTGGGGTCTTTTGTTCTATATAAATTTTAGGATGATTTTTTCCTGTTTCTGTAAAGGATGTTGTAAGAATTTTGATTGGGAATCCATTGAATCTATAAACTGCTTTAGGTAAGAAGCCTTTTCACAATATTAATTGTACCAATCTATAAGTATGACAAGTCTTCCCATTTTCTACTATCTTTTTTGAGAGCTTTAAAGTTTTTGTTGTAGAGGACTTTACTGCCTTGATTAGGTTTATTTTTATTTTTTTTTATTGTGAATGAGAGTGTCTCCAAGATCATCTCCTTAGTGTGTTTGTTGTTAGTATGTAATTTTTTAAGTTGATTGTGTTTCCTGCCATTTTGCTGCAATTGTTGGTCATTTGTAGAAATTTTCTGGTGGGACTTTTGGAATATCTATGTATAATATATAATCTATAAGTAGAGTTCATTTGTCTTATTGTCCTATTATATCCCTTTCATTTGCACTGCAAAGGATTGGGAAGGGTGGACAGCTCTGTCTTATTCCTGATTTTAATGGTACTGCTTCAAGTTTTTCTCCATTTTGGGTTTGTCATAGATAACCTTTATTAAGATGAGGTATGTTCCCTCAGTCCTTCACTCTCTGGCACTTTTATCATGAAGGCATGTTAGATTTTGCCAGACTTTTTTTCCATCTATTGAGATAAATTGTAAATGGATTTTTGTTTTGTTTTTGTTTTTGTTTTGTTTTTTGATTTATATGCCGAAGTATCTCTGGGATAAAGTCAACTTAGTCATGGTATATAATTTTTTGATGTATGTTTGTGTTCTATTTCCAAGTATCTTGGTGAGTGATTTGAGTCTGTTCATCGGGGATATTGGCCTAGAATTTCCTTGTTGCTGTGTCTTTACTTGGTTTGGGTATTATAGTGATACTGTTTTGTAGGAGGAGTTCTGTAATGCTCTTTCTGTTTCCAAGTTGGTTGACTCTTCTTTGACAGTCAGGTAGAATCTGCTGTGAATCCATCTTGGTCTGGGCTTTTTTTTTAGTCAGGATTTTTTATCACTATTTTGAGCTCCATGTTTTTAATGGGTCTGTTTAAATTGATGATCTCTTTTTGGTTTAACCTTGGTAGTTCAGGTGAATCTAGATATCTGTTTCTTTTTGGTTTGCTAACTTAATAGATATAGGCCCATAAAGTATTCTCTTACAGTATTCTCCGTTTCTTTGGTGTCTGCTGTAACATTTTCCTGTTCATCTCTGATTCTGTTAATTTGATGGGGATTCTGTGAATTTTGTGTTTTTGGTTAATTGGATCAAAGATCATCTATCTTGCTTTATCTTTTTAAAGGACCAGCTCTTTGATTTTTTTTGTTTGTATTGTTTTTCATTGATTCTATTAAATTTCATTTGTTATTTTATTCCTCTCTACAGGGTTTACATTTTTTCCAGATTCTTAAGTTGCATAACTTATTAGTTATTTACTTCTCTTTTTTCTTGGGTTGGCTGAGGGAGTGGGAGTGAGACAGGGTCTCCCTACATAGCACTGGCTAACCTGGAGCTTTCTATGTAAACCAGGCTGACCTCAAACTCAGAGAGACCTACCTGTCTCCAGAGTGCTATGCCACCACTCCCAGCTTAGGTGTGTTCTGATATTTTAATGCAGGCACTTAGAGGTATAAATTTCCCTTGTAGAACTGTATTTAATGTGTCCTGGGGTTTTTTGTTGTGCTATGGTTTCATTTAATCTCCATGACTCTATGTACAGATTCCTTTGATGTCTAAGTTTTATAATATTATAGTTCAAAAGGATACATGGATTTTTTTCTGATTTTTTAAGATTTGTGTCCCAGGCTGTGTGATACATTTTAGAAAAGTTTCAATGGGCTGCTGAGTAAAAAGTATATTCTTGAATTCTATTGATATGTTTGATATATAATGTCATTCAATTCTGATATTTCTGTTTATTTAGGAAATAAGTCTATTGGTGATAAAAGTGGGGTTTTGAAATCACCTGTTAATAACTCATTTATACTGAGTCTGTGTCTTTAACTCTGGAAGTATGCTTTTTATAAAGTTGAAGCTTTTATGTCTAGGACTGTAATGTCTTCTTGGTTGTTTCCTTGATTAGAATGCAGTGTCCTTCCTTCTCTGTGTCTTCTAATTAGTTTGTGTTTGAAGTCATTTGTCAGATATAAGTATAGCTTCCTGGTTCCATTTGCCAGGGATACTTTCTCTCATGCTTTCACTTTAAGATGGTGCCTGTCTTCAAAGCTGAGTTTCCTGTAGGCAGCAGAAAGATGGATTTTGTTTCTTAATCCATTCAGCTGACCTATCTTTTAATTGAGTAGTTAATATTTAAAGTGTGTGTTGGTTGCAGTCATTTTGCTCATTTGCTGTTTTGTTTGTGTTCTTTGTCCTCTCCCATGTTTATTTTGTGTATCAGTAGTTACCAGTTCATTGGTTTTCTTTCTGTAGTCTCTTGTCTATGCTTATTCCTCTCTTTAATCTGAAATATTGCTTCCAGTTTTCTCTGTATGGCTGGATTCTTGGACATGGATTCTTTAAGTCCATTTACATCATAATTTTTTTTATCTCTCCCTCAGCTATGCCTGATAGCTTTGCTTGGTACAGTAGTCTAGGTTGACATCCATGGTCTTTTAGAACTTGGCGTAATTGTTCTATACTCAGAGTTTCCTTTGAGAAACCAGCTATTATCCTAAAGGATTTTTTTTTCTTTATATGTGATTTGTCCTTTTTCTCTTGCAGCCTTCAGTACTCATCCTTCATTCTGTCTAGTGTTTTGACCATGATATGCTGTTGGGAGTTTCTTTTCTGGCCCTGTCAGGTTGGTGTTCTGTGTGCTTTTTGAAAGGAACAGCAACCCCAGACCAAGTTCTCAGCACAGAGATTTATTTGCCCAAGAGGGACGAAGGACAGGGAATATGAGACAAAGAGGACAAGGAGAAGGAGAATGGAACAAGGGAGAGGGGCCAGGAGTATTTGTCCCAGGACACAGGACTGCCTCTGGATAGAGAGGAGACAGAGATGGCCCATAGGAAAATGGCAGTTTGTAAAGGTAAAAAGGGAAGCCCTGTGTAAGGATGAGGTGTTTAATTTTAATTGGATATGTTAATTAGGTAAGCCAAAGAGGGCTTTGATTGCTGGACTTTACTACTTCAGTAGCTGGATCTTGGTAGTCGGCCTTGGGGTGGGGAGGGGAATGGCCAAATAAGGGAATAGACTTTGATGGCTAGCTTTAGGAATGTAATCTAACAGTTTTTAGCAAGGCAGAGGGAATGGGGGAGAAGGGCAAGGCCTGCCAGAGCCACACTCTCCATACTCTAGTTGGCCAGAGTCCCTTCACTTAT